TTATGCCCGGCTATTTTGAAGCCGTCATTTCTACTTGTACCCGACGAAAAGCATAGCGAAAAGCCTTTCACAAGCGGAAAGCTTAGTTTTTCGATAAAAATAGAAAAATTCAAAGCTATTACTTAGAAACACAAGTTCAAAACGGGCACGCAAGAATAATAAAAAAAACACCTCAACATACTGTCTGAAAAAATTTATTGATTGCTATAACTTTCAGAAATAACAATCTATTGAAACGATGGGCATTGCGATAAATCAAAATGTTGGCACATGAAAAAACAAAACAATAACATGTATGTAACTACAATCATGCTGGTAATGCAAATGCAAGCTTCTGATCCAGGTAATTGAAGGTTGTACAAATGTCTATGTAGGGGCTAGAACCAGCGATTGAGAGAATCTGAAAATTAAAATTAAATTTATGATGGGGAAACAGTCACTAAATAATTTATGGGTTTAAATCAAAATTCTTTCTTACCCTTTGAGGAGTTTCTTGTAATTCAGCAGAATAAACTGTAGAGGCTGAAGTGGGAATTTGGCCATAAACTTGACCATTCAAACTAAACTGATAGAAGTGTGGACCAGCACCACCAGCAAATACACGGTCTTCATGAAATTTGGCAACATGAACACCTTTTAAATCCTTCATCGGAAATACAGTGGTCACTTCCATGGACCGAAGATGCCACACTGAAAGTCTAGGACCTCCCCCACACAGCAGCTAGAGAATGAAACCAAAATATGATAATAGAAGAGCTACAAACTTTAAATCTAAAATTGTTGAATAGTTACTTACCAGCCAATCATCACTTAATGCAGCAGCACCAACCCACTTGCCCAACTCAGGTCGGTTGAGTCTGGGATTTTCAAAGGGTTTAATTATGTTCGTGGCAGCAGTTTGCCTCATATCCCACAATCGGACAGTCCCATCTTCACTTGCAGATACAAGTTGGTTTTCACTAAAATAATTATAGATAACAAATTAAAGAATATTTAGGCTGTATATTAACAGAAGAAACACATCCTGTTCAGTGCCATCTGATTCAAAATACATGGGAATCGACGCTCCAGAATGAATATACATGCTCACTGGCACTGAATGTGTTCAAAAATTCATAGCAGTACCTTAAATTGATTGAATGGATAAATCCAGTGTGGCCCGATAGCGTTCTAATCAATTTACCACTTTCCAAATTAAAAATGTAAATATTGTTATCACCACACCCTGCACAGAGACGTTCATCAGCACTATTGTACTGTAGCGAATTTACATCTGTCTGCTCTGACCGTTCTCTAAAATAAAATGTGCATTATAAAAAACATAAAGAAAAAATAAACATGTTATACCAGGTAAAAAATTGTTAAAACAAATTAAATTACCTCTGTGCTGGTATCAATACTTTGAAGCGGGGCTTCTCTTTTTTTCCTCCGGTGACAGAGTCCCATGTCTGACCTTTAATTTCACCGATGCCACCAGCAATGAGAAATTTGGGAGTAGACGTTAAAGAGCAAATGTTGCCTCCTTCTAATGGACGAATATGGTGTGAGGGATGTTGTATTCCATTTGATGACTTTGACACTTCAGAAGGGTTTGTGACATTGTTCAAACTTTAAACAGAAAATAAATTGGAATCATTATCACAACTGTTTGAGGACCAAACGCTATCACAAATTTCAAAAAATGTGTTAAAAACGACAAGCTGTACGGAAATCCAAGCCGACGAGACAATATAAACTGATTTTGAAAAGTAAACAAGCCGGCATTTATCTGGCATAACCTTCCATTCCATACTTCAGATCGAATCAGACCATTAAAAGATTCCTCATACAAACCTGTAGACAGCGATATCCCCGTAAGTGTTGGAAGCGGCTAAGAAGTTTCCACACGGAGAAAAGACTTGCGAGAGTACAGTATTGTAATTAATACGGTCTACCATTTTTTTGATTGATGAACCGTTGATAAAGTATTTTTCAAAACAGGAGCGGAAACTACTGAGTACGTCTCACCGCCTTCTTGGCTAGCAGACGCCCGAGCGACATGCGACGTCGGCGACGGCGACGAGCAGAAACACAGAACAGAACCACGAAAACATAACCCTTTGCTTTTAATCGTGAATAATTTATTTTAATTTCTTTCGTCATGGACAAGCCCAGACCCTGTGGTTGTAAAGGAAAGCGAACCTGTTTATCTTGTGAAGGAGAATATGGTCTTCAGCATGATGACATTAGCGACATTCAGGTAAGGTTAAGATCAACTCGGAATAACATTTCCAATCCTATTGAAATATTTTTGGAGCTTTGCATTACATTATGTATACAACTCGCATCCCATTATGCTTTCACTTTCTTTGCCTTGGTAAGTTTTGATGAATGTCCATTATTTTACCTTCGCCATATTGATTGTCACCCCTGCCATCCTTCTGAATATGATGACTGATACGCATTACAATTCAGTGACAATTTTCTTTGTGCACTGTTCCTTTTACTTAGGACCGTGTTTCTTGGGTGAATACATGTGTACCTCCGTTTCCATCCCGTCGTCAGTCATACCAGTCTTGCCATGATAAAAGTCCTGAAGAGCGCATCAGTTATTGCACTGGTCCTCTGGAAACTCGGGCTGAATTTGACTTCTCTGATGACAGCTACTCAGAAAATAATTCTGATTCAAGAAATAATTCTTTATGTGGTAGGGCTGATACAGCCTCCTACAGAAGCTCTCCCAGAAATAATAACTCCCCTTTTAATATGAGAAAAGACATTGAGCAGAGTCACATGAAACAGAGAGACCACTTCCCCAAGAAAGTAAGTTCTCATTTTGGGAGTGAATTAGAAGCTGAAGTTGATTGTCCGAGGGATTTTCTTTCAACATCAAGCCAGCCCCAGCCATCCAGATATCATCTAAGACAGCCCAACAAACATGAAACTATGTCTAGTCGACATAGGAAATCATTTACCAAATCTCATATTGACGCATTGAGTGATAAAACTGATGCTTCAGAAGTAGAGACAAACTTCATTCAAAAGTTGCACAGAAGTCATAGACCCAAAACTGCCACTGGTCTTCAAACAGCTACAGCCCCTCACCCCAAGAGAAATATTGAAAGGGTTGGTCTTCACGTTTCTATTAATGACTGCGTCTGTATTGCTTCAAGTGCAGATTTAGGGACAGCTACTGATTCAAAAACCAACCTTACAAACAAAAATAAGAGGCATGTCTTTACCTGGGCCAGTAGGACACCAGCTGAGATAAATGAGTCAACTCCACAACCTCCTCCTCTGCACCAAGAATCTGGATCAGGAACACAGGTTGACACTCTCTCCTCAACACCTCAACCCCCAGGATGTAACTGTATTTGCCAACCACAATCACAACCACAGTCTGCTGCTGATTACTATCACATGATGCAAGGCCGCCAGGATGAGTTTGGAGGCAGAGATGGTCAGCAAGGGCCAGATGCGAGAGGAGGAAGGGATGGTGTAGGAGGTGCCGGTGCACCAGGATATGGACCAGGTGGTGTAGGTGCTGGCGGCTATGGTGCAGGAGGCGTTGGTGGGGCAGGCTATGGTGTTGGAGGTGTTGGTGCTGGTGGCTATAGTGCAGCAGGCTACGGCACAGGGGCCTATGGTACTGGAGGGTACGGCCCCGGAGGCTATGGCACTGGAGGCTATGGTGCTGGAGGCTACGGTGCTGGAGCTTATGGCCCGGGAGGCTATGATACTGCAGCTTATGGTTCTGGAGCTTACGGTGCTGGAGGCTACCATGCCGGGGCAACTGGGACTGGTAGCAACGTGCTTGGAGAAAATATGGCTGGTTCAAGCAAAGACAAGAAGGATGGAGTGTATTCAAGTAGATCTCGTAAAAGACGAAAAGGATCCCTCAGGGATTGGCAAGACCCTCATAAATTGTACCCAGACCCTTTGGCATGGGGTGGAGAGCGCCCTTTCAGATGGGAAGATAACTTACGAACAACTGAAACAAATGCTCTGATTGCGGTCCATCCCCAAAGGTGGATGCCTGTTGGAAAGCAACAATACAGCCACAACCAGGGTTACCCCTCATGGCCAGATGCTATTACAAATATGTTAATGCCATGGTCAAGTCCTATGTGTTATGACTTCCCTCAGTCTCGTCAGACTATGACTTGTTGTCCTGGTAGCCAGTTTGACTCCACACCTGCATGTTGTCCTGTTCCCCTTAGAAACTGTTATTGTGACAATAATGGTGTTAATGATTCCTCCCATCCTCGACAAACATGTGCATGCTGAAGTTTTTCTTTTTAACTTACAAATTAATCTCTAAACTTTCCAGAGGGAAAAGTCATACGTATTTTGCCCTTGGTGTCAAAAAGCATGGCCGGGATGGGACATGGACTTATATCGCCATCACCCAAATCATGAGGGACAGCCAATTGACTACTCAGGAATTTTCATTCAGGTAAGAAAGAAGTGTGATTTGGACATGTCTCACAACTCAAATGAAAAATATGAAATTTAAACATAAAACCATTTCTTTAGATGGACTGGCTTTCTGAAGAGGAGGAAATGAGCTTGATCAAGGGAATGGATGAGATGCCGTGGGATATATCTCAGAGTGGTCGTCGAAAACAGGTTTGTGTGATTCATCATGTTTTGTAGTATCATCTGACCAATCCTATTTTTCATTCTTCACTCAATTGAAAGACTTCTATACTATTGTAATTCTTCATGTTTCAGAATTTTGGACCTAAATGTAATTTTAAGAAGAGAAAGATGAAGCTGGGCGACTTCAATGGCTTCCCTGCCTTTTCTAAGTTTGTGCAAGACAAATTTAAAGAAGTTCCAATTTTGGAGGTGAATTAATGTGGATTTTTAATAGCTTAGAAGTTTTTATTTCACTAATCTCATTTTTATTTGGAATTCATCTGTTATGTTTGAATTTTGATTGCAGGGATATTTGACTATTGAGCAGTGTTCCCTTGAATATGATCCCTCAAAGGGTGCCTCTATAGATAAACATATTGATGATTGTTGGGTGTGGGGAGAAAGAATTATAACAGTGAACCTTCTTTCTGATTCAGTGTTGACTATGACACCATACAGAGGTGAAGAATGGCGTTATAATTTACCTCTTGTGTCAACTTATGATCGTGTACTGGATGATTGTGGTGTTGTGATGAACAATCAAATTAAGGCTATTGGTAAAGGCGAAAAGATAATGGATAATATTTCAGGACAAGATTGTACGCGTAGATCAGGACCTGCCGATGTTGTTGTTCGAATACCCATGCCCAGGAGGTCATTACTTGTAATATATGGTTCACCTAGGTATGATTGGGAACATCGTGTTCTTCGAGAAGATGTTCATGACAGAAGATTGTGTTTAGCGTATAGGGAATTCACTCCACCTTTTTTGCCTGGAGGAAAGCAATTTTCTGAAAGTGAAATTGTTTTGCAGACAGGAAATAATTTTTGGGACCATTTACAAACCTAGAATACAATCATCTATTAAATACATTGAAAATTATATGTAATGATGTAATATTTAAGTGTCTGCTGTGATTTTCTGTGGTTCTGTTCTGATTGTACTACATTATATTTTTGAGATAAACTTTATTTTTAACCGTGTATTTGTATAAATGATCTTGTTGTTTCCTTAAAATACTTCAGGCTTGATTTGTGAAGAATTAATTTACATCAAATTTAACTTTGAAAACAAACTAAAGTTTTTCATATTTTATTTTACTGTAATCAGACATAAAAGAATTGTTCAAGGAAGAACTTAATATAAATTAGCCTACTTTTGTATTACAAGCACTATTTAATAAGTAATCGTAATCGGAGGCATGGGCTTAGTTTCAAGTGGAGAGTATGAGTTAATAAGGTTGTTTCGCAGCTGAGTACGCCTCATCTCCCTCAGGGTCTTTTGTTGGCGGATAGAACGTCCGAGAGTGCAGGCAAAGAGGACACCAAGGAACTGTAATGAGAAGAAAATTACCAAATTACATTCATTATTATGCAGAGTATGCATGTGTCTGAAGTCTCCTCACGATTCTATCGGTAGGTCGGAGCGATAGATAGACCTTTACTCATCAAATGTGGGCGGGTAATTTCGGACCAACTCATCCCTTTCAATAAACGATCCCCGATGGATCAAAAAGTTCCCGATAGGTCCCACCGAGATTTGAACTCGGATCGCTGGATTCAAAGTCCAGAGTGCTAACCATTACACCATGGGACCGGATGGGAGGGGGGCGCGCACAGCGCCTTATGTAGCAGGCGCTGCCAAGGTCAGGCCGACACCGGCTACGCGCGCGGCCATGTTGCTGCGCTCACCGCCCCCCCCTCCCCCCTCCACTTTTCCATTCCCGACCGGCGAGCACCGGCCGCCGGCCGAAGCCGAGGGAGGTGGCGCGCTATTCGAATGTCGCCGCGGGGAGTGCTGGGTAGGCGGGAGACGCTAGGGCAGCTACTACGTGCTCCAACTCGATAACGACTACACGAGCCGCCTGTGGCTAGACCTGGCCCAGCGGTCGAGGTCCCTGTTCTGTACCTGGGTGAAGGCGGTGACCACGGCGGTGGACGCAATGAACGCCGAGCCCCGCAGAAGCAAAAGGCCCAACTGGTTGACACAGCCCTCCATGGGGACAGACTGGACGAGGTTTAAGGTGCACTCCTGGGTGTGGTTGCCGCTGTTCAGTTCGGGGAAGTCAAAGCAGCACGACATGGGGATGTTGGTCTCGTGGCCGCTGATATCCTTCCAGTTCTCCGGGGAGTCGTAGCCGCAGCAGCGAAGCTGGAACAGCGGAGAGATTTTGGAACACGCCTCCATAATGATTCTGTCTTTGGCGAAGCCCGGGCCACACGTTGAGAGAGAAATAAAAACGGCTTTTTACCCCGTTTTGCATGCGGTCGATCGCGTGCTTGGTGGCTGGGTCGCTGTCGTAGAGCTCCATAGCGTGGAAGATGTTCCTCGTGAGGATGTGGCGCAAGTCCTTCTGCATGAGGAAGGCGGAGATGGCGGCCCCCAGCTCCAGCAGCAGCAGCAGAGACAGCAGGAACGAGAACTAGACAAGGCGAAAGAAGACAAGTTTCCTTTAGATACTGCATGGTTGTTGGGTCGTTCTCGGTCGATCATACGTAGAATAGGGGACGACCCCTTTTATGAGATGCGGATGATGGCGGCGCAATGGTACTCACCAGCGTGACGAGAGCGGTGCTCTGGCGCATCGCCCCCCAGATGCCGAAGCAGGACACGACGATCACGGCGCCGCCGGCGATGCCCAGCAGGACGCCCGGGGACATGAATTGGCGCTCCAGGAGGGGCGTCAGCTCGGATAGGGGCCCGGCCACCATGATGGCCGTGAGCACCAGCAGCAGGCCGCTCAGCTGGAACCCATGGCAGGCGGGGTTGTGGCCAAACCATCGCACCATAATGCCCTGCTGCTCCTCTTCAAGAGGAGCTGAGTGTAAGAAATGATCTCTCTCCCTCTATCGGGAGCTAGCTGACGCCTCAATATGACTTGCGCATAATTTATCAGGTGGCTGACTCATACCGCACACTTTCGTACACGGCTCCTTGGGACCCCGTGCGAGTATGCAACCCGCCCGCACGCGTGCATGCGGTACAGTATAATCAATACGAAAGTGCGCGGCGTAAGTCAGTATCGTCTGCTGAAAACGTTCCATGGTCCGCGCGCCGCGTCACCCTGAACGGATGCAAGATGAATCATCTCGAACCCCTAACAACAGTGTTCGAAGCCGTGTATACTGTATACTTACTGAGCCCGTGTACACCACCGCCTGCAGGAAAAGGGGAGCGAGGCGGTGAGGGGGGGGGGCGACAGCTCATTCGCGATAAGGGCCGACACGACGCATATGGGGGCTTGTCGCATGGGATAGGAAGGATACAATGCAGCGACGCTTTTGTTGTGGACTTCCCCGCTCGCCTCCAGGGAGATGAGCAGATCTGGCTCGTGAGCTCAGCGCGTGTCGCTCGTCAGCCATTTCAAAGAAAGGCGCACACACAGCTGCAGATGCGAAAGCTGCGTATTTTGTTATTGGGCAGGGGTGGGCAGGGCGAGAAGTTTTCAATTTCCTTCCCCCATTACTGGCACTATCGGTTCTTAGCCGAAGATCTCATCGAATCGCCCGGTTTATCTCGAGGTTTTGGAGGGCCCGTGCCGCCGCCGGCTGGGCGCGAGGGGCTCGAGGTAGGCGGCCCAGGACACGCAGTGCACAAATGATATCGCGCGCCTCCCCGATAGTCGCAGCTGATAGCGAACGCCGGTCGGGGCTCTCGGCTCTCGCTCCCTGAAAGCGCTGCACCCGCGGCGGGGCGCGGCGCGCACTCGACGCATTTAAAGCTGCTGGCGAGCCCCACAAAAAAAGCTCCATCCGGCGAGGCGATGTGTCCGCAAAATATCGCATTCATCTTCATCCCCCCAAATGACTTAAATCGATTTAAAGGGAATCCGGTGGTGGCAAGGGGGGGGGGGGCACAAGTGAAGACATAATGCGCCGTGTCGCACCGACTCCGACACACACACACATGTCGCAGCTGTGTGTGGATTGCACCTCGTTGGGTGGGTGGGACAGGATATGTGTCTGGGACGGGGAGAGGCCAGTCAAAGGAGGCAGGGCGTGTCTCAAGACGTCGAACCGAATCGACGTAATTTTTAGTTGACAATACTTTTGATACGTACTTGTTCAACCCGACGCAGCGAAACAGCGATTTCAAAACACGAAGGAGGTAGAGGTAGATGTTATCATTGAAACGACACTTTTGATTGCACCGCTGAAGCGAACTCCCTTTTAGCAATTAGTTGACATTTTTCTTATCATCTGGCCTCACCCCTTACCCCTTCCCGGGGCGTGGGTCGACCTTCCGAACATTAGCACTCGGAGGGGACAGGTGTCAAAGGAAAACTGCCCTGTCCGGTTCGGTTCGGGCGCGGCCCGCGCGGCAGAGATACCCACCGCGAAGAGGAAGTTGAAGGCCACGAGCAGGTACTTGATGCACCGCATCCCGATGCCCAGGTCGTCGGCGACCGTCATGTTGAGGGAGGAGAGGAAGGAGACGACGGCGCTGGCCCAACAACACTAGCACCTCACACCGCACTACACACCGCTCGAGTGCCGTCGGCGGGCGGGGGCGCGCGCGCGGCACAGCCTGCTGGTACTTATTTTATCACTTTTTTCGCGCGGCGCGGGCGCCTCGCTGCTGGCCTGGCCGGCTCACTTGCCCGACGCTGATGAGGACCGAAGCCGCCGGGGGCTTGCTGATAATGGGTACACAAGGTACACAACGACGCGCGAGGCACACCCGGCGCGCGGGCGCAAGAGGCCAGCGCGGCGGCGGCGCGGCGACGCCCTTTGTCGGCGTTCAGGGGCGGCCGTTATGGAGGCGGGGGGAGGGGGGGGGGGAGGTGACCTACTGCAAGGAGTACGGGGACGGGGCGAGGACGGCGCCCTTTACCGAAGGGCCACACCGAGGAGAGACACAACTGCAGCGTAGGAGTGGCCTCAACCCCAGCGCGCGGCCTCATCGCCGCAGGTCTTATTGCTCCGCCATTGTCCTGCTCGACTCCGACACTTGCAGCAGCGCGCCGCAGTCGTGTCGTGTTTGGGGAGTGGGCGGCACATCTACCCATGTTTGTTCACGTTCGCGGGTTATACCACCACGGGGACGCTTATTCGCATACAAAATGTTTGTCTGTGTCAGAGAGGCCGTAGGCAGGCCTGGCCGCCGCCGCCGCAGACGGGCCGCCGTCACGTACATTGTGAGGAACGTCGCGACAGGAGAGTGGCGTGAAGGGTAGGGGGGGGGGGGGGGGACCACGGGGCGCCTCGCTAATCACCACGGGGCGGCGTCGCGGCGGCGCTCGGGACATGAGCCCGAACCACTGTAGGCCCAAGCAGTGTCCGACATGAGCCAAGCTAGATGGAGCCAGAACCAAATCTAACGAGTCAGACTCGGAACTAGGCTCATATCGGGTATTGGTCGGGCCTGCAGTGGTTCGATCTCAACTCCAGGCGGGCTCATGTCCGCAGCCCGCACCGCGCCGCTCCCCGCCGCTCCCCGCCGCGCGGATGGACGTCGTCGGACTCCTGAGGCGGCGGCTCGCCGCGGCCAAACCTCCGGGGAAGTTATTCGACCAGACTAATTTGATTGTTCACATCTCGGCGACGTGTTGCCGCTGCCGCGCGCGCGGAGGCTCGATGGGCTGCCTAAGCCGCCGGCGCGAACCAGAGTGTTGACATCTTGCACGAGGCAGACGGCGGCGGCGGGACTGATGAGTTAGGCTCCGGCGGACAAAACAAGGCTTTCTTTCGGAATTTCTTTCTTTACGCTTGGACTCTTAAAATCACACAACATTCATTCTTTCGGCATACACACTGAAGATGAAAACTATATTCTTTTTATAGTGGAGTATCTACATCCAGTATATATAAGGTATTCTGCAAATCATTAGCACGCGATGCCACTTTGCACACGGCAAGATATGACCAAAATAAAGGATTTGACCCGCTGAGGCATCAAAAATTTCCCATAGGGAAGATTTTATAAGCCTTCAAAATTACCATTGCGCCTTACGGGAGGTCCGGGTAGGCAACCCACCGCACACGCCCCGGTTTTCCGCGCTTCCAAGGCCCTTGAACGGCCATAACTCAGCCAAAAATGCAAATATTTGAACAAACTTTGTTAGTTCGTGTAGTGCAGGCTTCAAGGAACATTTCTAGTTGCCGCACGATGTTGTTGGTCGCTCAGTTTAGACGGGAGGGGCGCGCAAAGTCGAACTTTCGGGAAAATTGACAAGACACCTTTCAAGGGTCTGGAACCGGCCCTGGAAGTGCACCAAGGTGCCAACCAGCGCATGATCGGAAGCAGAAAAGTGCGAGGAACACGCTCATGTAGTCGTTTCGAAAGTTTCAGCTGCAGAAATGCCTGTAAAACGGATGCAAAGTCAGAAAAGTAGACGGCCGCTTAGGGGCGCCTTTAGCCACCCGCCAGAGCCAGGCCTCACACTGGTAGGCCGTTCCGAAGTGGCGAAAGTGTTGCTAACTTGAGTAAGAAGTTTGCCATTGCATGACTGGTCATAAATTAAGTTACCATAAAAAATTTGGGCCCGATGGGATAAGATTTAGGGGTGGTACTCGGTGTTCAAAATGTTCGAACATTGCTCGTTCTTTACCTCCCCTTACTTTATACATTGTAAGGTACAAAGAACGAGTCTTGTCCTTGGTGTGGTATAATTTAGAAAAATGTGTTCCCCTTCTAACGTCAACTTAATTTGATGTTTTCTGGGCTCCTTGTTTTGCTTGATCGACACACATGCTCCACGTTTTCTTCATCCTGGTATTTACAAAGAACAGTTTCGAAATCTGCATAACTTACAAACGTAGCACCATTAGAGATTGCCATTTCCAATTCGGCTAGTTACGCCCATAGTCAGACCACACAAACAGGCGGCGACAGGCAAGTGTAGTCAACACCGGCAGTTCTGGTTTTTCTCAGGGAGCTCTCAGATCGCCCTCCTGCAGTTTTGGGCCACCCATGAGCGTCGACATAAGGTCTCAGAGTTACAGCTTCAGCTTTAGTTATAGCTAGGTACTCGACCAATGAGTGTGTTAATAATTTAATTCTGATTATGTAAATAAATCTGTAATTTATTTCAGTGTTCAACCTTGAAATTCTGATAATAAAAGTCGCTTATCCTCAAAGAAAACGTTAACTATCGATCAGTACAACCGTGGAATTACAGTTCCATTCGTTTTTCACTCCATTCATTTCTCAGGTACAATTTTGCCAAGGGAAGTCCTTCCCTCTTTGCTCTTTGCTGCAAATAACACATAAACGATTTAAATCACACAATTGTGTGCGGATAGTGGACCCAGGCCTGCTTATTCGGAGATAAGCGTTTTGTAGGGGGAAAGGTAGGGTGGGGGGTAGTTTACCTCCTTCTACAGGGTATTTCAGTGGAGCGCTACCCGGAACTAAGAAGAACAACAGCCCCCACCACCGCTCTCTGTATCCGCTTTTGTTCTTCTTAGTTCCGGGCAGCGCTCCATTGAAGAAATACCCTATTGTTTATCGGGGCGATTAGGTATTCGCAGACACCGAATAGTCACACAAGATGATCAACATATCAATTCAACATAAATTTGAGACAAAGAAGCACACTCACTGAAATTAAATCCAGCTACTTTAGATATCATGGAACTGGTATATTGAATAACTGCAAAAGTATAAGGTATGTCAAGAAAAAATGAGAATAAGTGTTTGAAACTTGATTTGACAGTTGCGTACGCCCGCTCTTTACGTCCGGAACACAACTCCAGGTTAACCAACAAGCTGGAAATAATAACTTTACCCACCAAGTATGACATACCGACATTTATCTGTGAGAAACCTAGGTCAGCTGAACTAAGACTTTCGAAAAATAAAATATCTCATGCGAATCAGTAAGTTTCCTATGAATAAACCAAAGCAAATAGGGAAGCTCGAAACAAGCAGTTGGGCAAACCATCCAGAAAGAAAATATCCTTGTAGCCCAGCCACCACGCGAATTTCAAGTCCACCCCGGCCTTAATTTTTTTTGTGGACTGTTGACTTTTAATCCGTGTCAAATTTTCTTGACTATCGGTTTCAGCATCATTGAAAATGTTGTCGCGTGTGGTCACACGTACAAGGACGGTAAATGCTTTAAAGGTAAAATATTTCAAAAGTCAAGTGACGTAACTTTCGTATAGGTTACCATGCATTGATGAAACTGAATTTCATTAAAGTAATTTACAGTATAGCACTATTCTTTGTTTAAATTTTTTTTCGAAGAATTTTTGCTTGAAATTGACTAGCTATGCTTGTTATTCCCTCCATGATTGTACGTGGCTCCTGATCATTAACATCTTCAACTTCCATTATTCTAGTCAGATTCTGGTTAAACCTATTGAGAGTGATACTGTCTCTTGGTATTTAAAGAAACCCACAAAAAACGCGTGTTTTTTTTCTTGCAGAGTGGGTGCCCAGATCTTGAAAGACTAGGTGTTGCACGCAATAGATTAATATTACACCAGCCCTCAAGAGCTGCGTCATCTACGCCCTTTAACACTGTCATAATGTTTGTGCCCCAGCAAGAGGTGAGTGTTCAGTAGTTTTAACACATTGTGTGCTAAGGTGGTAAACAGTTTTCAAACATGGTGTGTTACACTCTTCATATTAAATCCTATTTCATTATTATTTCATTCAATTGCTTGTTGAAGTGGAAAGCTATCGACATAAACCAAATTGTGAAATTATTCTCTCTGTTTTTTTTTTCTGTAGGCATGGATTGTTGAAAGAATGGGCAAATTTAGTCGCATTTTAAAGCCAGGGCTTAATGTTCTCATCCCAATTGTAGATAAAGTAAAATATGTGCAGAGCCTTAAAGAAATAACTATTGATATTCCAAAGCAAAGTGCTATTACTAAAGGTACGTTAATTTTAAGCTATCTTTGAAACAGCTTATCAGCTGTTCTTTTTTTAAGAAATTAAATCAATCGTTTACATTTTCCTGACAGATAATGTTAATCTATCCATTGATGGTGTTCTCTATTTGAAAATAATGGATCCTTACAAAACAAGTTACGGCATTGAAGATCCTGAATTTGCTGTCAGTCAACTTGCACAGACCACAATGAGGTGAAAATCTAATAAATCTCACAAAAGTAATATTTTTTCATATCTTTACCTCTCAATTTTCTTGAACTTAAATTTTAGAGCAGAACTCGGTAAAATGAGCTTGGAGCAAATTTTTCAAGAAAGAGAATCATTAAATGTAACTATAGTGGAGGCCATAAACAAGGCCAGTGAACCCTGGGGTATATCTTGCTTGAGATATGAAATCCGTAAGTTCTTTCCTTTTCAATTGTTTTATTCTGTTGAATTTTTCAGTTTTGTTAATTGATGAAATTTCTACCTCAGGTGATATTGCTCTACCTTCCCGCATCACAGAAGCTATGCAAATGCAAGTGGAGGCCGAAAGAAAAAAGCGAGCTGCCATACTTGAGTCAGAAGGCCAGAGAGAGGCTGAAATTAATGTCGCAGAGGGTCGAAAGAGAGCCAGAATCCTTGCTTCAGGTTGTTATTTTTTTAAACTGTTGAGGCACTTTAAAATGAGTGTGTCAAAATATGTTGATTACTGTAATTAATTACTCTCTGAATCTTATTCCAGAGGCTGACAAGCTGGAGCAAGTAAACAGGGCACTGGGTGAAGCTGAGGCTCTGCTAGCAATAGCCAAAGCACGGGCTACTGGACTCAATTCAGTTGCAGATTCTCTTGGGAAATCAGTAAGTTTTTTATAATGGAAATTTTAATCAAAATCTTTAAAAAAATGTTGTTTTATAAGCATACTGCATTTGAATATAAATTAATAATGATCTTTTATTTTTCAGCATGGTAAAAATGCTGCATCATTTGTTGTTGCTGAGCAATATGTTACTGCCTTTGAGAAATTAGCACGAACGAATAATACTCTGATATTGCCAAGTAATGCTGGTGACATCTCTAATGCTGTTGGTCAAGTAAGTTAAATTTTTCCTTTTTTTTCTTGGTCACCTTATCCGACTGTCTTGAATTTGCTCTAACAAGTCTGTTATTTTTTTCAGGCCATGTCTATCTACAGTACAATTACCAGAAATCAAAGTAAAACAGCTGGAGAAAGAACTTCTCAGTTACCTTTCAAAGGTTCAGATTTAGAAGAATATTTTAGTGATCCAGATGAAACAGAAAAATGTGATCCCAATTCTCCAAGTTCATCCTCCAGATAGATAAGCATAATTCATATTCATATTCTTTTAATTTTATTGTCTGTGTAAGTTGCTTGTTGTAAAAACCATGGTTTGAACTGACTTCCTCTTGATAGTGTTGATCTCATCTACGCCTCATATGGGTTAGTGACATGAACTGTAATAGTATTCAATAAGTCGTAATTGCCCAATGTATAATTTACAGAGGTGTGAAATTAATTTACCTAGCGTCAAAACATCTATAATCCAATTCCACCCCATTTCTCAGTAATAAAATTTTGTGTGGAGGAAGCTCTTTGCATTCTTGAGGAAGAAGCTTAGAAAATCAACATTCTGTTTTAATTGCATTGTTTCAGTTTTAGTCAATAAAGGGTTGAACACTTCTATCTCCTTCCTTAAGTTATACCTTATTTGCAAAATATTGCCTGCTTTTCTATCTCTAGATGCTTAGTTGCCGGTCTACCAGACCACACATATACCAACTGGGCAAACCGAAAACTATGTCTCTATGTGACATCCGGAACCACGGGTGTGGATAAAAGTTTTTGGTCCATTGAAAGTTGAAGGACATCGTGGTAGCAAGTGCGCCGGGAGCACTTTATATTGGGCAAACACTTTTTTGGTAAGAGTTTGAACCAACATTGTGTAAGGCACTGAAATAGGACAAACAAGTAATTTTTCTATTTGTTTTATTTTGTTCCACTGTAGATTGTAAAAATTTCTTACTTAATCAAAAGCCAAAAATATTTTTAAAAAACAACAAAAAAACTCTCTTATCACATGTGTAAATGTACAACCAATGACTTGTGTCATGTGCTCCTCAAGCAACATATAAGTGGGTAGTTCTTAGCACCTCCATGGCAACATATGAAATTAAGGATGGAAGGGTGGTCTTCATAGTAGTGCAGATGGCAGAATTTTATGCTGAGCCTCCAAACAGTCTGAGGGCGAGGACTGGCAATGTTGACAGAAGAAGAAGAGGGAATGATGGGTTCATGAGACCAGCACCGTTGTCAGGTACGCCGTCTCCATCTGAAACAAACAACACAAGAGGGATTACAAGTAAATAAAGTGTATTTCTGCTGAAGTTTGCAAGGAGGGGGGGGGGGGGTGATTCCCTGCTTTCAACCCGACTAGCTGCGGTGAGCACCGGTGGAGAGCAAAGAGCCACTCGCTCGCGTAGTGCGTGATCGCGACAGTTGTTGTCTGCTCATTTCCATCATTCCATCGTCGTTTTGTTTCGCTCTGTCAACGACGCCGACCATCAAACAGAGCTCGGGCCCGCCCGCCGCCAGGGTCCTTTATCAGTGAACAAACGCATCGTGATCGTACGGGCCCCATTAGCTCTTATGGCGCGTTCGCCGCCCCGTTCGCTAATCACTCCAGTTCGTACGATTGTTCCTTGTGCTATTCTCTGAATTTGGTCCCAAGAACCAGAGGAGTCGTCTGATTCAGAAGAGCGTTCAAGAGGGACTCTCCCATACCTCCCGCATAGCTCCGTACTTGTTGCGCTCATGGGGCAAGTACAGGAGAGCCCCTCTTGAACGCTTTCCTGAATCAGACGGCAGCAGCAGCTAGCGCCCGAGGAGAGGTAGGAGAGGCACCCGCGCCACGGTCACTAGCTTGCCACCGCCGCTATGAGAAAAAGAGGCCAAAGCCCCCGGCCCGGGCCCCGCCGTCGCGGTCCTGGCGGGGTCCTGGCCGGCGAGTGCGTGTCGTCGTGGGAGGTGTGGGGGATTGCTCACAAACAGCTTAGCTCTCGGTAGAGAGAGACAGACAGAGAGAGGGGTTGGGGGTGGGGGGGGGCACCCGTGCCTCTAAATCGAGCAGAGTGGTGACACTGAGAGGCAATGCTGAAAGTTCATGCGAGAGTCATTGAGGAAAAGGTGCGAAGGGAATGCCCAGTGCGAAATACGGCTGTCAAAACGATATCAGCAGAATGTCGTCGAATTCTGCCCACATTTCCGTCGTCGTTTCGTTTTTGATATCGCACTTCTCGCGGGGGGTCTCACCTTTGTCATTGGGGTCGTCGTCGTCGTCGCCGTCACCGTCCCGGTCGATGGCCTGGATGAAGACGACGTTGAGGGCGAGCAGGGCGAGCAGGAGGGCGAGCCACGGCCTCATCTGCGACAGAGGGCGAGAGAGATGGAGCTCAGGTAACCGCGGTGCCCGTGATTGTAGAACAAGTGCAAGTGGTTCATGGTGGTGTTGCTGGTGGTACTTCACTTAAACTGAACCATCCGCCGAAAAATCAGGGAAAAAAACCACGAAAAAAACGAGAAAAAATTAGAGAAAGTCAGAGAAAAACAAAAAGAAACTTGAAAAATCGGTGTGCGCTTGAATGTTATAGTGAAGCACCCCTCGTGTGGCTCAGAGACAATACTTTTCACACATGATTGATATTGATGATGAGGCGGTTGTTGAGCCTGGCCCGCGATGTATTTGGGGCCGGGCCAAGCGCCACGCTGCGCCCTGCGCCAGGGACGTGGCGCACCACCGACACAGGCCAGAGTGATCGTTCATGCAAGGGCTGTTTGTTTTGTTTGTCTTTTTTCCCCACCTCGTCCTCACTTTTCGCGGCGCGCGGGGGTTCGTCCCCAAATGATGCCCGGCGCAATCGTCTATTTCGGGGCGCGACCGCGGTGCGACACCCCTTTTTCACGTGATCCGGGCCCACGAGCCCTGCGGTGGCAGCGGTGGTGCGGTGTCTGGGGGTGCGGCCCAGCCGGGCGGCGAGCCAGGCGTCGCCGCACCGGGGGGCGCGGGGAGGAGGGCGTCGTCTCGCCGCGGAGGGGTGAGAGGAGGGGTCATACACTCAAACGGCACGACTATTGGGTCGTTCCCATACCTTTAGGGGGCTACAAATATGATGGGGTCCCGAAAGGAACAGGGCCATCATCCATATGGACCACATGATTATTTTGTACCCCAGGGTAAAAAAATATATTTTGGGGTCCTACGGGACTGCATGATGGCCCTGATCCTCTTTTGGACCGTCGTATTTGCATCCCCTGCCCCTAAAAGTTACGAAGTGTGGGGCGAAGCGCTTAAGTGAAGAGTGGAGTACTGATTCGCTATGGCGCGAAAAGCCTGCCGAGAGGCTCCTTAATTTAGAGAGGGCAGGGCATACACCCTACACCTCCACGACTGCTGAAGAGAGATGCGACATCGCGATAACTTCCGCGTGCAGGCCGCACTGCAGGCCGGGCCGGGCCGACAACAAGGGGGGCTTTGAGTGGGACGCCCGTCAGAGGTCGGGGTCAGAGTTCAAACACCTACCACACACACGCGCGCGCGCACACACACACACACGCACACACACACATGCATGCATGCAGGAGTTATTTCAACTTTATCGATGCACGAATAATGGTGTCCATAGAGGGGTGGCAGCATAATGTACACCGAGTATGCCTCCTCCCGACCCCCCCCCCCTCAATCTCTCTCTCTCTCCCTCCCTCTCGCTCTCTGATGGGCATACCGACACACAATTAAAAGCAGCCCGACCATTATAGCTGCCCGAGCCGGGCCGTGCTCTGCTCGCGCTCGTATAAAACAAGATCAAGGCGCTCGCTCGCCACAGGTCGGCCGGGGCGAGAGGTTCTCTACATCGTTTGGCCCAGAGCTCTGTGCCGGGGGCGAGCGGGCCGGGGTGTGTCAGCGCCTTCAACTTGCAGCCCTCCGTCTCCGTCGCGCGCGCGTTCTAGCTGCCCCGCACGGCTGTGTCGGCTGGTGCTACCGGAGCCCTTAGCGCCTGCCACCGTCGGGTAGGCAAGCCCGCGACGCTCCGGCGCGCAACGGGCTCGCCCGCTGCCCGGGCGCCTCGGTCAAGGTGGGAGGCGGCGGCGCGGCGCAGGAGCCCTGCTCCCGGTGCATGGGCCAGTCTCTTGTTCTCCTTGTTCCACTCGTCAGTCTCACTCTGCCGACGGTTAGAGATTGAAGAACTGCGCCGTCTGAGCAGCAGAGATCTGCATCTCACTCGCACATGTCGCTTTGCGTGCGCTCCCGCGACTGGTGGACCGACCGGCGCCGACTTCCGCCGGGTGGGAGAGCGTGCTTCTTGGAGGGATGGGCATGAACGGCGTCAAGCCCACATGGGGTTCAAGAGCGGGATGATTGTTTGTTACGGCGGAAAGGTTGCACCACATCACACGCCTGCCCTCGCTCGCCTCTCTCCCACTCCCCCATACACCTGTACCCACCCGGTCCTTGGCACTGTTCTCAGGGTGGTGCAGGCAGGTGCGCCGAACGAGCCATGGAGCACAGCGTCATACCGCCCTCGAGCTACTATTTTGGCTCCGAGAGAGAAATATACACTCAAAAGCGTTTCACTGATTATGGGGGGCACTCTTTTGGCTGCTAGAACGAGTGAGCACACCAACACCAATTACACCTCATACACTTTCATAACGATAACAAGTCGGCGAAAAGCCACAAGAACAGAGGTGTGTCAAAGCTAAGGCAGATCAAAATGGCATCACAAGTCAAGATGACTAGATTTTGATTTATGACGTCACCCTGAAAGATCTATCCTTTTGAAGGAGTCGTAATACCGCCGTTAGAGGGAAGTCCCCTCAAAAATTGCTCTCAAAACTAAAACGAACACTGCTAAAATGATATACTCAAATATGAAGTATTTGAAATAGAAAAATGACTGCGCCTAGCAGTATAAGTAAACCCACCTTGACTAGATTGTGATGCTCAGCTCAGCGGTGGGACTGTGTAATGCTGAGGATCCCCACGCGTACTGACCGGGACGCGGAGTCGTCCCTCCCTCCCTGGTCTCGAGGGTCCCCCCCCCCTTCCCCCCGCTATTTCCCCCCCAAGTGTTGTCTGTCTCCGTCCCGCTCGCGAGTGTGGATGGGACGGGGTCCACCCTGGTCCGGCACAAAACTAAAATAAATCGACCAGACCCGGCGGGACAATGAGCACAATGCTGCGCCGCCGAGAGGGACAAGGCACATGGCGAGGCGTGGGTGGGAGCCCTCTCAGACATCTCTCTCGCTCTCACTCAGGGGCCATCTCTAGGAATCAGCCGTATCATTCCCCGTTAATGGATTCCCTTGCCTGAGCACTTCAGTTTTGTTTTTTTAGTGAAATAAATGAATAATACAAAAGGGGATAAGATAAGCTGACTTGATATTATTGCAATGATTTTTGTAAATGTTTATTAACATATTAAAGTAACATTCTTTCATAATTTGTAACAAAATAGTCTAAAGTATCCACCCTTGAACCCATTTCTGACGTGAATTATCGCCTAGAGTTCTCCCATCTAATCTCAGTGGGTCCTTTAGGAAATCTTCTTGGCCTTTAACTCTTTTAGGGTCTGGTTTCACTGCATCTGACACAATCATTTGGCCATCACCTGTAAGTAGTGTTCTTTCTATATCCTCTTCAGTGGGTTCTCCATTGGGAAAAGAGATAGGCGTAATTTTCACCAAATGTTTCACTTTCCATAGATCTTCACAGATGTTCTGATGATTCTTTAAAATGACAACATGATATTTTTCCTGGAGGAAGAGAGAAATTAAGAGTTTCATTTGAAATAATTTATCCATCAGACGGACTAATAAACACACTTACGTCGGAATCCAGTCCAAGTCGGGTCAGAACTTCCTTATCCCACCATGGCTGTCCCTTCATGGGTTTGACTCTCTCTACCATAAACAGCTTTGACGGAACAATTGGTGGATCTTTGTAATTGGGATCCCTGCAAAAAGAACATCAGTATTAAATGAACATTAGTAACGCCCACAAACGCCACAGACCGCAAAATGATAGAGTGCACCACAACAAACAGAACATTCAGTTGGGACATTTTGTCTTTCTGTGTGTACAAACGCACCCAGAAGAAAAGGAAACAGCCAAGTAGTCAAAATGAGGCTGCTAACGACTGTCAAAACTTATCACAAACAACACTATACTTATTTAGGAAGAGGTTAGGGAACTTACCGAGGGTAGTACTTCAGTTTTCCTGTTTGAAGCTTGTAGGCGTCAGGATACATTTCTGGCTGATTGGTAAGGAACTCATATTCATGGGGCCTTTTATGTTTACGATAACTCCTATTGCGCACCGATTGGGTAAAAATTAAATTAAGTCTTTGAGAAAGTAAAGCCCTGCACACGGTCGCCATGTTTAATGTTGTCTGTCTGCTAGAGGCTCGACCAGGTCAAACAACGTGACAACGTTCACATGAAGCAAGAACGAGAGACTCGCAGAATATAGCCCAAGTAATCTAGTAAATCTTGTTGTGCACTAATCACTAAGGAAACTCTAGCGTTTTCTGATACGTGGAGGGTTTGGAGAAGGTGTTACATTATGTTGGTCGTACTGGTAGAAGTTTTCTTGTGCAACCGCTAGGTACCCAGGTAGCAAAGCGGCAAGTTTGGATGGTGACGGGAAGGTTGAGGAGAAACTAAGAGAGAAAAAAGCCAGAGAAGTGGACAAGGAGCAGGAGCATCAAAGTGTGCTGCTAAATGAAACTCTGCAGCTTCAAAAATAATTTATCTGTTAATTTTCGTTTCTGAAGTTTAGTAAATTGGAATTGTCCCAGTCCCAGGATAGGAACACATGTCCAGTTGTCGAATTCCATTAATTTCAGTGCGATTTCTGCCTTTTTTTCCCTGATGCTTTCTGTGTAACTTTTCAGCACTTCCAAAACAAACAATGATCTACAAGATCAGAATTCAGAATGGTGGATCTTTTCTATGACCAGAATTTTGTTTCTCTTGACCTCCAGGTTGAATATGCCCCTTCTGCCTGAATACTTAATTTGCTACAAAGAGAAGGAAAAAAATGAGACAGATATTTGATTATGGACTAAACTTGTTTTTATTTTCCCAAACCAGATAATACAGTAAACAGCAACCACATATTATTTGCACACACTAAACACTCCAGAGGTACACATTCTAGTAGTACCTATATTCCCATTTAGTATACCCTAAAGCCTTTTCTCTCCAATCTTTGGTCCAATTTTGTGCTTCAGTTGATTTGAATTTTTTCTTTGCCCTTAAATCGGTTACTATAGTAGGATCTTTAGGGAAAGCACTTATTCCGCCAAATATTGGGTCCTCTGTAAAAAACAAACATTTCATCAGTAAACAAGCGCATCACAAATGCCTGATAACACAGTAAAACAAAAACCAGACCTGGATCAAACCGCTTCGGATTTAGTTGAATATGTAAATTGGGTGGCAAATCTTTATTTTTTAAGTGCTCCAGAGGAGTTAATGTATCAACTGGGGTTTTATAAAACTCCAAAATGTCATCTGAAACATAAAAAGTTACATGAAGACAAAAAGACTCAAGTAAGGGTTTTATAGGAAAGGTACTGACCTATTGTGTTCATTCGATGGAGTTGGGAATTGGGAACACTATGCTGGAATGCTTCATAACATTCTGCCAATATTTGGAATTTTACAAGAGGTTCTTTGATGTCAGACTTTGAGGATAGACCTTTAGCATATTTAAAGGTGATTGATTCAAACTGTTCCTCAACATTCTCAGGAGGCTGATAGGCTTTCAATGGACGAAGATATCTGAAAGACGACATTTTAAAATTAAGATGTAAAGGTAATATAAGTAACCATTGTTAACAGTACTTGGAGACCAACCCTCTGCTTTCCAATTTTTGTTGGGTATGATATATTTGAGGTCCAGGTTTCTTCTGCGGTGGTCTGTCTTTAGGTGGACGAGACGTATACTGTTGGGAAACAAAACAAAAAAGAAGGTAAAATAAAGAAATGCAATAACCAATATAAATATATAAAAAAACAATATGAAAATAACGTAAATTTTCTTACAAGGAGAAAGGACAATAAAAGGTAAATTTAAATGCCTTAACACCATACAAATTTAGGGGTTAAGTTTACCAAGGGGAGAGAAATCGTGTTTTCACAGAAGGCTACGACTACGGTGCAAGCATGTTTCTCAGGAATCATTCAGTTTTGAGGACGAGACACAGTACAATTTTTGTATCATAATAGGAAAAATACTTTCATATACAACTTACGAGACGAATATCACATACCTTTGCGACATTTCCGACGTTTAGGACGGAAAATATCTCTCGAAGGAGCGGTTCTCGTTTCACTAACGCCGCCATGACAGTTTTCTACAGCTTCACGTGACCCACAGCAGCCAATCACCGCCGAGGACTCTCCTGCGCTTGTTGTCGTATCCGCCATTTTACAGTCGCCATTGAAAGGTGAAATTCGTCCTTTATGGTCCCGAAATACGGCGGGTTTCGTGTGGATATTGTTACTTAAATTGTGTGGTTAGTGGTTAAAAACATTTTTAAGAAAATGGCGAAGCCATGACACATCCCAATCATCAAACAAACGGAGCTAGTTTGGAGGATTGCCACACAAATTTCTTTGCTCTGGTAAGTTGATTTCAATCATCTATAGGCCTAAGAATCTAAGTCAAATTTTTACCATCAAATTTCTGTCAACATATTAATTTTTGCGCACAAACTCCCCTACTTATACTTTCCTTCAACTGGACTTGTTATGGTATTTTCGTTTAAACACGATCGTCTCTTGTATTTATACCGTGAGAAACTTTCATCTGCCAAAGTGTCACGCCTTGGGTATCCCGGTTTGTAAAGACTTCTGGAGCAATGCCCCAAGTCTTCATGATATGCCATGAAGCCTATGTCAGCTGTGAAGCCGCTTTCGGACTGATCGTGCTGTTCATTTTTTAGGCTACGCCTGAAGACTAGTGTTTCTCATAGACATAACCCTGTTGTTTAAGCTTCAAGTGGAAATGGTGTCAGGCTGAGCCTAGAAAGGTCATCTGCCTCAGCTTGGACCCAATGTTAGCTGTTTGGAGAATCCTAACCTTATCACTTAATTCAAATTTATTTTCTGATCTGAATTGCAGTAAATATCTATTATTTACTCCACAAGTTTCAGTTATTCCAAACTTAAGCTACACAACATGAAGTGGAAAGTTTCAAATTTCTACAATCTTTACATTTATACTATGAAGTTGGGTTAATAATATCAAAGTTTAAGATATTTTCTCCTCAAGAATGTGATCTTTTGCGATATTGTGTGTGTCTATGATTTATTTACACTAGACAGGACACCGAACTAGATTGCGACGGTTGTTTTCTTCCTTGTATGTTATGTGTGTGTTTCATTTACATGAAGCTTTACTAACTGTATTTCTAATCATCAACTTATCATCTCGGCATCATCAGATGTCTACTGCTTGAGTTATGGTATTGGAAGTCCATTTACCCAAGAAACGTTTTGCTTTACTTTGAAAATTTTTACAAGTTTGCCATACATTTAAATTTATTTTAAATGTAAACCTTAACAAGAGGACTGTTATGGACTGCATCATTTTTATTATCCTGACACATTAAATTCATGCCATCAGTTTCATTGATTTTAGTCCTGGTTTGTGTCAACGGCCAGGAACCTAAGTGGTGTTAGTTACTGCTGACAGCTTACTTTTTTGCTCTCGTCAGAACCATGTTGGCATAGGACGACCTTCTATATGTTGCTGCAACATTGTTTGGTCCAATCTATACTGAAGGCCATTGTTTTGTTTTACCTTGGCTGTCACATCATCAGTTTAATTCCTGAACCTGGAGTGTTTCAACTGCTTCTGCCTACGTCTTTTACAATAAGAATGTCTATCGGTTTTTTCACCTTGTCCCAAGGTAGAACCCTCCCCTCCCCATACATTGTGGTGTTGACGGTGGGGTTGTCATCCGTGTTTTGACTTTCTAGAGTCTGACAAGGGCCCCTGGCCTGACACCGCGGGGGTGTGTGACTCAATACGTGCTGCGCTCTGTGGCGATGTGCCGCGGCTCGCTCGGCTCCTGCTCCAGCCAGGGAGGCGTCCGAAACGAGCCGAGACGGAGGCCGCGTCCCTCTCTTCCCCTCCCCCACCTCTTCGCCCTCCTTTGGGTTCGGGGCTGCGTCCGAATGGGAGGGAGGCGGGAGACGAAGAATGCACTTCAGCCGGTCGGGTCTAGCCGCACCGATCCCGCTCCGACCGACGGGCGACGGCGGCGGCTGCCGCTGCCGCTGCTGCAGCAGGAGGAGCAGGAGCTCCGCGCCGCCGCCGCCGCGGGCCGGCTCGAGCCCTGGCCGAACCCATGCCCGGCTGCGCTGGCTGCCTGCTTGTCCGTCTGGCTGGCCCGGCCCCCGGCCGGCGGCGCGCCGCGTTGCCACGTCTCTGTTCGCATGTCGCATTCTGTGCTACGCTCGGCCTGGGCCGAGTGCTAGCGCCCCGGTGGCCAGACCGGCCTGCCCCCGCGGCAGCCCCTCCGGGGGCCTCTGTAGCAAGAGAGAGAGGGAGAGAGCGGTGGAAGAAATGGTTCGGCGCGGGCCGGGCCGTGGGGCCGAGCGCGGGGCCGGCGGGGCGAAACCTTGGGCCGCGCTGCTCCTCTCGTCCCCTCCCTCTCCCGCCCACCCCCTTGTCCGGGAACCCCTTGGCCGAGGGGTCGGCGGCCGGCTGGAGAGGTCTTGGAGAGCGCGCGCTGCCGACCGGTGTGATTAGCGCAACAATTCAACAGGTGACGTCATTGAAATGGGAATGAAGGGAAAGGAAGGCGGGGGAGGATGGGCGGGGGCGGCGACATGTATCGCGTCAAGCCGAACGAGACGGGCGAGCGATTGACAACCACCTGTGGGGAAGGCTCCTAATCGCAGCTTCCACCCGCTTGGCCGGCGGCGGCCTCGAGGACCTGTCCCGGGTCAGCGGCGCGGCCAGGGGGCTCCCCGTCGTCGAGGGGTGGTCGTTGTGGCCGGGCGCGTGGTGGCGGTGCACGGGCCGGTGCAGCGTTGCCTCGTGTACTCTCTATGCCTCGCTTAAAGCCCCCCCGGTTTTTTCCGTCGCCAGCCTATCACATTCAAGGTTGAGATGGAACGGACTATGTTGTCGCGCCGCACCAGTTCGGATGTCCGCCCGCCCGCCCCGCCCCGCTGCCGTGAGATGGTAACCTTGGCGGCGCCGCGCACTACAGCGCACCTGGATGCAGCCCGGCCTGGCCGCGCGCTCGGTCGGGTCCGGGACTCCCGCCCTCGCCGACTTCGACGAAATGGCTTTATTCTCCCGGGCAATGTCTCTCTCCCACTGCTATAGTCGGTATGACCCGCTCCTGCCGCAAGTGCCGGCGCTTCGCAGGCGTTTGTCGCGCCATTTCAACGCCGTGTTACGGGTGGGGAATTAAGAATGGGTGACCTTCCTGAGCCCGAGCTGTCAGTCAGGCGGCGGCGCCTCGCGTCGTGGTTTGTTTTGGTTCCGCCCCGCCACTGCCGCCGCCGCCCGCCACCGCCAGTGTCGCGTGGCGGAAGTGGGTCACTCGGCGCATCCGTCATATTAGCAGTGACCCAGTTGAGGGACAGGGGCCGCGCGGCCGTTCGGGTGCGGCGGTCACCAGAGCGCTGGGCGGCTTGGAGACGGAACGGTGGTGGTGGCTGCACAGGGGGAGGCGTCCCCGCGGGGTCCGCGGGCAGCCACTGCCCCGCCCTCCATCACCCCCGCAACGTCACAGGACGCCGGTGCTGGTCGGCGGGCAAGTGCGTGCTCGTGGCCCGCGGGGAGCCCCCGACCTGTGTACTACTATACTACTGCACCTCCGCGTACACCGCGCAATCAGCAGCGCAGCAGCGCCTGCCCCGGCGCGGCGGCGGCCTCAGCCCAGTGTAAACACGGGAGATTGCCATCGCGCGGCATGTGTGGCGGCAGGACGCGAGAGGGGCCTAGGTCCGCCCCGCCCCGCCCCGCCCCGCACCTCAGGACGCTAAGGCCGCGGCGTGCCGTACGTAGCGGGAGCGGGGCGGGGCGCGGAGCCGGCAACGCCGCCACTGCTACCCGTGTGTGTTGTCGTAGTCTTGCCGCCCCGCCCGGGCCGGAGCTGCACTCGGAGCCTCTGATCACTGATGACTTGATCGCTCACCATGATGATGACCCGCTGCCCAACGCAGCGC